ATAGTTCAGGTGTAAATGATATGTGTTTTCCTCACGTATAAATTACCGCAAGTATACAGTATCGCATTTTGCAGAACAGTGGTTCCGGATATCGATCCACAGGGACCTATAGATTCACATGCTGAGTAATGTAATTATATTATCGTTATATTATCTAGCCGATCGTATATGGTTGGAATGGTGATAAACCCTAGTTTAACAACAAACAAGATTGTGAACATGCAAATATATAGAATGTACGTAAATAAAATAGTGACAACTCTTAACGAGAGAGTTTCGATTTAAAAGTGATTTCTAGGGCAAAATCCACCAATATATAATCAACAACGATCTAAAAATCCGTTATCTAAAGTCACATTCCTATTCGTTAACCGAGACGCTAAAGTACTCTAACCTCCGTCTCCAGTGTAGTTAGAGTCTACCCACAGGATCGGTCGATCAGCTAACGTGAGAAATCAGCTAACGTGAGAAATCAGAAAAGAGTTCGACAGGTGGACAAATGATTTTTTTCTTCACCAAACATTTAATTTATTTCAAGAAACCGCAAGAGAGCCCAATAATAAGTCCGGTAGACGACTAATGTAATAGCGTTTCTTTTTAATTATTTTAATGCGTAAAAGCTATTATAGCACTTATTAGAAAAATGCTATAACAAAGTGCTATTAAAAGTCAATTTTGTTGTAGTGGGTCCGACGCCTCTGTTCAGAACTTTATATTAAGAGAGCATTTAGGTCAAGTCCTTAAGGGCTACCTGGGGTGCATCATGTCTCCGTTTCCACAACCCGAGCTATGTTTCCTAACTTCAAACAAGAAATCCTCTCTCGAGTTCATTCCCATCAATCCAAGAGATGATCAATCAATCAGAAGTATTTAATACAGGAAAACAGAAACGAAATCAAAACACGACAAATAGATAACAGAAATGAAAATCGAAATCAATATAGACAAGGTTTCATTACCCTAAAAGAAAATGTTCTTAGTTCATAACAAACATAATGTAAAAAGAATGTACACAAGAAATGAAGAATAAAACGTAAAGAAACTGCATAAGAAAAACCCAAGTCGAAACCCCCCTTGAAGATTTCCACGAAGAACTGTCGAAAACTATAAAAAGTCGAAGAAGAATAAAGAATGAAAGGACCTTCCTATTTATAGTTAATGCAAAGCTTCCTCGAGAAGTTTTGCAATGAATATATTTTCTCAAAAGTTGTGCCCAGATCGCGATACGGAATGGTTGGATCGCGATCTGGCAGCCTCGGGGAGCTGCCCACTGCCATGCTAGATCGCGATCCGGAGTTGTGTATCGTGATATGGGTCAGAAGTAAAGCTGCACTGTGAGACCCCCCAGATCGCGATACAGAGTGCTGGATCGCGATCTGGATCTTGAGTGAAAAGGCTATTGTGACAATCCCCAGATCGCAATATGGAGTGCGGGATCGCGATTTGAGTCTGGATCGAAAAGCCTTTTGTATAATCCCCCAGATCGCGATACGGGATGTTGGATCTCGATCTAGGTCTTGATCATGAATCCTTCTGTGACATCCCTAGCTCGCGATACGGAATCCCTGTATCGCGATCTGGGTCTTCTTGACCACTAAATTTGGCTTGAAAAATCGGTTTCGCTTTCAAATGGCTTCGACTCGGCAAAAATAGCTAACAAAACATAAAAAAACAAATAAAACAAGAAACACAATAATATGTACAAATAAAGCCGAAAATCGGACGAACAAAGACCAAAACTCGAAGATTCGATAAGTAAAAATCGTGCAAAACGAACACTTATCAGTAATCTAGATGTGGGCCCACAACTCTTGGTGATTTAATTTAGATTAAAACATACTTTAATCTTCATCGTCGATCAATTGGTTAATGACAAACGAATCATGATTGACTTCTAGCAACTACGGATCATGATTTCGTAGATACAAATAAAGTACATGCAAGACCTTTCAATCATAGTTCGCGTAGATTACAGTCCCTTTGACAAATATAAATCCCGATCGAGCTAGAGCCATTGTTCCACTGAGAACTCCAATGTTGCTACATAATTGTGCGATTTTCTAAAGTTATAAGAACCATTCTTGTGTGATTCGAGAATCCCTATTCTCTAATCACCCGAATTTCTACTTCAGCTGAAAATTTCTTGGACTATGTACTTGAAAAACGCACATGACATCCATGCAATTAAGTAAGTTGTTAAATCCCTAACTACAATGCACAGACTTCCACTATATTTCAAGTTGTGCGAACATTGGCTCTTTGAACGGTCTTCAATTTGACTCAAGGATATATAACATTCACAACACAGCTGGTCCTCTAGTGAAGTCGCCTATAGACTAATGGTGTACAACTATAATCGTAGAACCTCTACTCAATTAATGGGAACCACATAGAGATTCCAGGACGAGGAAGTTCAATGAACTCATCGACTATGGGCACGCACTTATGTATGTCAACGTCCTTACGTATTGTAACTGATGAGACTCAACTCGCATAACCTAAGTACTATTCTCAAATGGAAATGAGATCTATCATAATTATTGGCGTAACCGATCGCCTAGGAACTCATTTAATAGTTGTTCTGCTAAATAAATTATATCATGATTCTCCTAGAGCATTTCAAAGTATTTTAATATAACTATAAGGTCTATATATATATGAATAAATAAATAGAACAATAGATATAGCTTGCCAAAATAAACTTTCATAAATTAGTAATAGATTGTTATTACAACTATAAAAGGAAAACTTGTGACTCAACTAGCTACTCTAACACGATCATACTTGAAAAATATTAAAATGTCATTTGAATTTGGTTGAACATATTCAGTCAATGAGTGCATCATCTCCTTTTGGAAAGGAGATAGTTTACCATCTTCATTGGTAGATGGTACATCATCTCCTCTTGGACATAGTGGTTACCAGGCAAGACTAATGAGAATGAAAGGAAAGACCAATGAAAACGACAGCAGATAAGGCAAAAAAAAAAATGACTTGCAAAGTAAAAGATCATATGGCAGAGTTGATGAGTAGCACTGGAAAAAATTAAAATCTTATACAAAAACAATATAAAGAGTACTTAAATAGTCAAAACAAAAGATTAGTGTGTGCATATTTATTGGTGTCTCAAGAAGAAAAAAATTGTTCAGGATAAGAAAAACTCAAATTATATAATTTATCTTGTGATTTATTATATTTTATTATCTTGTAATGTTGTTTGTTATTTTATGAGCCACATATTTCAATTTTAAAATGTCTCGTCATGTATTTCATCAATTAAAGTGTGTTTTATTAATCATCTATTTTAGCTTATTGTATATTATTAATAGCAAGTATTGTGTTAATTAAATAAAAATGAATTAATCAACATTGATAATAAAAAATATACAATTTAATTAGCAATAAGCATATTTATATTTAGTAAAGTTAATTTTAATAATAATAATAATAATAATAATAATAATAATAATAATAATAATAATAATAATAATAATAAT